CATTTCCTTGAGATAGGCCTTCAGTGTGTCTGTTTAGTATTTCCTTTGGCCACAGTGAGATCTCAGACTATTACTGAGATAGGAGTAGAGCACTTGTTTGAGAGTTGGGCATCCTCACACAATGTCCAGTTCAGTGAAATTGGTGCTTGAGGATTACTGACTCAATGCTGGTAACTTTGGCTTCAGCAAGGATGCTGGCAATTGTGCAGCAATGTTCCAATTTGATATGGAGGATTTTCCAGAAGCATCATTGGTGATACCTCTCCAGGTTCTTGAGAAGATGATGGTAGGTCACCCAAGTTTCACATCTGTAGAGGAGGGTAGGGATGATAACTGCATTGTAGACCTGGATCTTGGTGCCTTTCCAGAGATCACAATGAATAAAGACATGGTGAGCAGTTTCCCAAAGGAGACACTTACGTACTGGATCCTGTGCTGGATCTCCTCATCAGCATTCACTGTCTGAGACAGGTGGCTAATGAGTTGGGGGAAATGCTTGACTTCCTCCAGGGTTTTTCCTTCAGTGGTAATCCAGGGTGGAAGGGGGTCAAATTCATGGCTTGGGACAGTCTGATAGAACACTTCAGCCTTTTCCCTGTTGAGAGACAGAGGCCCCAAATTTGGTAGGCTTCTCTGAAAAGACCCAGTACAGTCTGTAGGCTTTGCTCAGTGTGCTCAAATATGGCAAAGTCAGCATGAAAATCAAGGATCATTGTCTTGAGTACTTCGATCTTTGATCAAAAACATTCCAGACTGAAGAGCCCTCCATTCATTCACTATTCTATGTCAATTCCAGAAGGAAGGTGGTCCTTAATGAGAAGCAAGATGACTGTAAAAAAAACGGTGAACAGACCTGGGGAGATGACATATCCTTGCTTGACCCCAGTTCGGATGACAAACGGATCTGTCTCCAACTGCTGCATAGGACAGTCACAATTATTTGGTCATGAAGAAGCCTCAGAACCTTGATGTGCTTTGGAAGACAAAGGGTAAAGAGCATAATTAAAGGCCCAATTCTGTTCTTATACCTGTGCTAACCTGATTAAGTAAATGAACCACTTGAAAATATAGTGAAGTGCAGTATATGGGGCTATATCTTACATCCATATTTTACACACATAAATGAAATAGTTGGAAGGAAATGAAATTAGAAAACTGAAATTAAATACTTCATTTTGATTTTGAATTGCTTGAATTTTTTTCCTGACGATTTCTTAAACAAATTCCTACAAAACATTTCAATTTTGATGAAATAGTATTTTACATTTGTTGTGTTGAATTTTTAAGAAGCAGCTGTACCTTATAATAACATTATTTTTAGTGGTGCAGATAAGAGAAACGTTCACTCTACCAAATGAAAAATACATCTATATGTGTCATGCAGTCTCCTTCATCTGAATTAGTGAAGGAAATTCTACATTATCTAAATACGGTTGAAACAAATATACCTTGTCTGTTGTGGTATGATGAAGATGTCTGACATTTAATATGCAGGATACAGATCATAGAGAAAGAACAAAATAAAGCAAAATAAAGCAAAATAAAAGGAAGAACTTTGGGATAATTTGAAGTTGTTTATAAATAAATGAGCAGTAGATTTCCACTTCACCTTACACTTACTAGGTGCGTCTACATGAGACGCTTCATGCGCAGAAGACTAATTCTACTCTGTATTAGTGCAGTGTGCAAAACCCGTGCTAATGTGCTAATGCACAATAGAATACATCTCCTGCACATTAATGTCACCAAAACCCATTCATCTGTGCTAATGCACAGTAGCCCTGATTATGGTGCATTACTAAACTTAATGTGCTGTAATTATGGTGTAGTAATAAACATGTAGACACACCTGCTGTGTTGGGTTATTTTACATTACTGTATTTTTAAAATTTGAAATACTGTAGTTAATGAATCAAAAAATAAATGGGAGAAATGCATTTACCAAATTATGTAATAATATGCCAGGGGTTGTCAACTGAGGGTGTGCATACCTCCGAGGGTACTTGAGATGGCCCTAGGGGGTATGTGCGGGTGGGTGGGGATGAAGTGTTGCCATGCAACATCCTGTGCTGCCATGCAGGTGCCGCTCGGCCAGCCAGATGCAGGGGGTGGGGGAAGCTTGCACACAGTGGCTGCCGCCGCTCCACATCCAACTGCGCACCACATCCCCCACTTGGCAGCCGGAAGTACACTACTCCACGTCCAGCTGCTGGGGATACAATGGTCTAAAAAGGTTGAAAACCCCTGTTATATGCAATGCATAATACAGTTACAGAGCAGGATAGGAAGAAAGGTAATAGGATGTAAAGAAATGTAGAAAGATTCTGGTATCAGCCAGGATAGTACATACAGGGCATATCTACATGAGATGCTTGATGGCAAAGTAGCAATTTACTGTGAAGTAAGCATGTGGATCTACACATACACATGCTTACTTCACAGTAAATCTCACTAATCCTGAGTAAATTTGCTATCTGCAAATGCAAGTAACAAATTTACTTCATATTAGTAATGGTACTGTAGCACTCAGGTAGATGCCTGGATGGGAACCAAATCTGTTCCCAGTCAGCAGTCCACAAGGAGTTGTGAGATAGCTCCCTACTGCCAGGGTAGGTTATGCCACAGCAGTCTGGGTAGGGTGTTTCAAGCTCCCTGCTCCCAGATCATGATTGCAGAGTTGCAGCTGTGAGACCATGGCAGGGGGCTGGGACCTACCCCACCACTGCAGCTCTTTCGAAGAACCAATGCCTCAAGCAGCTGATTGGGGCACGGGGCTCGGACCTGTCTCTGACCAGGACAGTTCCCGGCCAGCCCCAGGCTGGGCAGAGAAGTCTGCCTGTGCAGCCTGGAGCTGGATGGAGACCCTGGGTGACTGGTGCCACCTTAGTCAGGTGGGGCACATGCCCCCCTCTAGTGACCAGTCAGTGACCGGGGGGAGGGGGTCCCACGGCCAATCTCGCTGACCAGGGCGGTGCAGCAGCCCCAGGAAATGCCAGGAATGAGGATCTCCCTGGCAAAAGGCAGGCAGGAGGTGCCTTATAACCTTCAGCTACCACATGCACTCACAGGCCTGAGGCTTGCTGGTTGCAGTGGAGTTGTGAGGCTCCAGGTGAGCTCAGCTTAGATGCATGGGATACTAGCTTTCATTAAAGTCCTAGATACAGAAATTCATGGGCTCAATATAGACAGTGAATTCTGACACACTACAACCTGCTGGACATCTGACTCCCCAGGTACCTCTCCACTTTTACCTGTGCTGCTTCATCCCCCTTCTTCCCCCACTCCAGCCTGTCCCTCACCCCCTCATGCCTCCATTTCCATTTTCACTGACTGGCTTTCTTACCTGAATTGCATGCCGACCTCTGGCTTCTTTACTAGTCTTTCCATCTAGGACCAGGAGACACACCAACTGCAGGTGTTTCCTCAGCCTGACAAAGGGTTTTTCAACCTGAAAGCTTGCTCAGATATATTTCTTTAACTATTTAGTTGGTTTACTAAAAGATACCAAATTAGATTGACCCAAAGAACTTTGTCTGCCAGTGCCATGTCCTTAGATGAACATCCCTAGCACTTGTCTCCGGTCAGCTGACCAGAAGGACACAGGGCCCTAGACACATCTAAGCTGCAGGGCTGGGGCTGGCAGGGAGAGTTCTCTGGCAGCTGCTGGAGAAGCAGCTCCTGCAGGAGAGGAAAGAAAGGCTCTGTGACAGTTTGGCTGCCTGAGATGCTGCTGGTGCTACTGTGCTGCTTACTAAGTTATTACCTGTTGTCATTTAAAGTGGTGGATCAGGCTGAGGCTGTAGGGGAGGAGGAGACCTCACTGGGGAACACTACCATGTTATGTAGAGGCCCCAGTGCCAGTGAGGGCATGCCTTAACACACACACAAAGCCACACACGTCACGAGTTTTGCTTGTCAGCAGCTTGAGGTGCAGTTTCCTAGAAACCCCTGCACTTATCTCCTTGAAACTTGGCAGGCTTCACGGCCTCAGCAAGGGCTACCATGCCTGCTTTTTTCCATCCCGCTGCACTTTAACACACACACAGGCACACACACACACACACAGTCACACGTCACGAGTTTTGCTTGTCAGCAGTTTCAGGTGCAGTTACCCAGAAACCCCTATACCTATCTCCTTGAAACTTGACAGGCTTTGTGGCCTCAGCAGGGGCTATCCTTCCTATTGTTTTCATTTGAATCAGAAAAGAAATGACAAAGTTATAGGCATTTTTGTGTTTCTGCATTATATCCTAGGGGCGAAACATTGAAATGCATTGAAACAGTGAAACAGTTTTGATGAAATGAAACAGAACAGTGCTTTGAAACAGTGAAATAGTGAAACAAAATACATTTGAAATGGCAAAACAAAAGTTGAAATGGAATGGTGCTGTTTTGCACAGCCCTACTGGGTAGTTATTGCAGAACAACTGATGAAGGCAAAGCAGCACCCTTGTTTGTATGTCCAGACCCTGATCAACAGAGAAGGGAAGTTATGTTGTTCCCTCTTATGTATTTTTTGCTAGAGCCATTTAAACAGTTGGGAGATCCATTATGAAAGATTATGTACCCACAGCCTTTTAATGTGTGTTGGGAAAGTGTCCACTCTTTATGTCTGAATCATTTGAGAAGATCTCTAGAAAAAGTTTCTGAGAGAAAGAAATACCTCCTAAAACAGCCAAACTGGGCAAAGATTTCTAACTTGTTCTTTGCAGGTCACATTTTAAGGCTTTTTTTTCCTTTAAGGGTATTTAGAAGGGCATATAGAAATGGAAGAATGAATGGAGGTTTATGTTTTCAATGGGAAATTAACTGCTTCTATGGATGCCCTAGTTTAACCTGACATTTAGTGTCTTTCAAGATAATTGGACTGGCAAATCTTAACATTTTGGTAGCCTCAAGCTGTAGTCCTGGCTGTTCATTTTCTTCTTTGTGTATTGTTTATCCTGAGATGTGACTTTCATCAGAACATCTCTTGCCTTAAGGCAAGATGCCTTGTCTTGTCAAGTATTTGGCAGCTAGCAGCCGGGTGCCACATTTTAAACACATTCATCCTTTCTTCAACTCTAAGTGCTTTAATTATATATAGTTTCACATCAGGCCCATGAAGCAGTCTGTAAATGAAGAAGCTTTCTTGGTAGTAAGATAAAGGGTGCTGTATCTTCACATTTGTCTCTCTTCATCTTGGAGAAGAACTTGCACTGTCTGGGAATATAAATACATCATTAGAAGTAAGACACGTTTGACACTGCAAATAATTAACATCTGGAGCAACTGATCAAGGATTGCAGTGGATTTTCTCATTGTTGGAAATTTTAAAATAAAAATTAAGTGCTTTTCTAAAATATAAAAGAAATGCAAAACTCTAGAACTCTTGATTCAGAGATGATACCTTTTATTAGACCAACTAAGAAATTGCAAAAAAAAAAAATCTTTTTCTGCAAGCTTTCGGGCGCGCACGCCCTTCCTCAGGCTCAGGGAAAATTAGAGATGGTAAAAAGTCCCCATAGGTAGAAAATAAACTTCATTTTTGCACAGAGGAAGCTGAAGATAGAAATCTGTTCCTCTGGGTCCACGAGAGCATCTTTGTGAGTTTTTCTCTGATGTGCAGATAAGGCAGCAAAATATATGCTGTAGTTTAAACAGGAATTAATTCAAATAATTCCTATAACCTGTGTTACACAGCAGGTGTGACTGGATAAGTAGATGTATTCCTTCTGATTTATAGTCTGTGAACCCTAGAAAAATAAACTTAAAAACTATGATTTAAGGAGTTAAAAGAACAATATTTGCTCCAAAATTTAATATTAGCAAAAGTCAGGTCAGTTCATGAAATACTTCCTTCCCTTTGTCTTCAGGTTCTAAAATCCCTTCTGCTTCAGTGAGCTGAAGAGTTGGCACATGTCAGAGGAGCAGTGGTGTGCCGTGCTTGAGATCTGGTTCTGGGGCATTTCCTTTTTTCCAGAGGTCCTGAGTATATTCTTCTACACACATTTACAGGGGTACATGTTAGCAGATGGCTTGATAACAGGGTTGGGACCAACATTTTTTCCCCTTAACAGGCTCTGTTTCCCACTTGGTCCCACAGGCATGATTCAAAGCATTGCCAAATAAACCAGTACTACCCTGTTTGGTTTCCCTCTTTGTACTGTGGAATACTCCCAGCCATGGAGGAGGCTCTAAAGTGGCAGATTCTTCTATAATAGAATCTATTATTGATCTAAAGCAGTGGTTCTTGGCAATACGGGTGCTTCTGGCTCCTGTAAAGGTGCTGCAGGGAGCTGAGGAAGCCAACAGGTGGTGCAAAAGTTAAAGCCTTAGTACATATACCTCTTGCCTAAAGCAGTCCCTTCAAGTGGGAAACACTGACTTAAGAGGATGGATCCTGGCCTGGAATCTTAGCACCTCCGAAGAGGAAACCCCCATAAGGTCTTTTAAGAGATACTGACCTATTTCCCATCTTTTTCTTATGATTTTACTCCTCATTTATTGTTCATGTGGGAATGGAAAGGACAAATGAGTCCTTGTTATGGGTGAATGATTCTTTTACTCTTAAAACCTTCTTAATGTCATTGGGATAGATCTAAAATGACAAATGTCCCCTAGGCTGTATGTAGCTCAAGCTTTCTTCCAAAAAGTAAAAAGAAAGACTTCCACCAATTTTAGTAAGAGCATGACCTGGGGCTGAAAGACCATAATAGACTTTTTCTAAATCTCACAAATCACACAGAAACATAGTTCTTCAAAGTCCAGTCATAATAATATGGGGAAACAAAGGTGACACAAATGATACTGATGTCATATATAACCATTTTGACATAGTTTGTGAAAAGAATGTCTTTTAAAAGTCCAAATTGTAAAGAGCTTTTCAAGTATTATGCACTCACTACGAATTTCATCATTTTTCTGAAAATGTTTTTCATAGCAGTAGTGTCCCATAACATTAGAACTTAGTGACTTGCCATAACTTATGATTTGTTTGGAGAAAGTATTTTTGCCTAATTCATGGTTTTTGAAAGTCACAAGGTACCATTAAATCATCTTATCTCCCCCTCTCTGTCATGTGCCTTGTGGCCTCCTGAACCTTTCCTGAGAGATGGTATTCCACCCATTTACCCTAGTATTGAGCTAAATTATTTGGGTTTGACTAAAGCATATCTTCTATAATAAAATCTATTATTGATCTAAAGCAATGGTTCTTAACCATATTAGACAAAAGGCACCCATCAGAGAATGCCAACTCTTAGCTTTCACTCATTTTTTGACTATAGAAAATAGGTCAATTCTTCTGTTTCAAAGAACTTAGAAAGAGCACAGTAGGTCAGAATATTTATGACACGATGGATTTCTATTTGAAATCTCTGGGTTTATCTTGTGAATTATGTGTAGAAACCTGTGGCTTTTCCTCCCTGAGGAGCTCCTCAGCCAGTACACACCAATAAACAGTCTTTAAACAAAAGTGTAGCAAAACCCCCAGTTTTTCTTTTCTTTTTAAATTTTAAAATGCATTCCCTTCCCTTTCCCCAACCATTTCTGACTTTTTCTCTCCCTCTCTATTCCCTATAGATAAGTATAAGTGAGCTCAGACTTAGGATAAGCTTTAAACATTTTTTTTTGGTAGTAAGTTTTTGGTTTTGGATATCCATCATTTTATATTGTATTATTATTAGGTTTGTATTGATTCTTACTGTTGTATATTGTATTATCATTTTTGTATTGATTTTTATTGTTTCATATGGATATTGTATGGTTTAGGCCTGTGTTTGTAAGTGAACCAAAGTCATGTGAAGTTTCCATTTTATATGTCAAAGCCTCCATCTTCTGTCCTCTGCCTGGGCATCCCATGTTGCAACTGTATGAGTCATGTACCCCTCCCATGTAAATTGGTTCCCCGAAAAATGAGTGTGATTGGGAATGACTGAAATACAAGTGTAGCAGGCCTCTACTGAGTGGCCTGTAATGACTGGGCCATCACCTTGCATTGATTCACCCAGGAACCACAGACCTCACCCAGGAACAGAGACAAGACCAGCATTTGAAACCAAAACCAACAACTCTCACCATTACAGACACCCGAAACTACACATCCCTGCGTGGAGCACACATGCTTAGTACGCCAGGGGCTGACCCTTGCCTGGGCATGCCTCCTGTCACTAGGGTCACACAATGTCTACCCCTATAAAAAGGGGCAGTGAAGACAGACCCAGTGGGACACCCTCTCCATCTGGACCAGCACCATGCCACACCACCTATCCAACCAGAGGCCCTGCTGGCGACCCCCCTCTGGACAACACCTACTGGACAAGGACCCCTTTCCAGCCTGGATAGGTAGATATTACCTGCACACCTCCTCCTACAATTTGGACTCTCTCTCTCTCTCCTCCTGGACTTCGGTGGACTTCAGCCCCTGCACCAAGCTTCTCTAACCCCTGCTGCCATTGTGTGTGTGTGTGTGTGTGCGTGTGCGCGCGCGCGCGTGTGTGTGTGTGCACAAGGGAACCAATTTGACATTGTGTCACCATCTCCCCTGTTCAATAAAACCACTGTCATTTGTAACCCCGAGTTGGGTCATGTTTTACTGAATCCCAGTCCCTTCCCGATCTTAAATTCCAGTCTCATTCTCTCTCTCTCTGAGCTCCAGTCCCCACCCTCTCTGCTAGTTTCCCGATCTCCTCCCAATTCCATCTCCCCTTTTCTGCCACCTCTCAGCCTTCCCTGTTCCTACTGCCTTTTCCCTGTGACTTTCTGCTGCCTTTCTCTGCTTTCCTGCTGCCCTGCTGCCTGCTGCTTTTCCACTGTCTATTTCTCTGTTTTCAGGCTTCCCCTGCACCTTCTGTAATCCTCTCCACCCCCCCACCCTGCAGCTTCCCAGCTCCTACTAGCTGTCATGCAGTTTGCTCCAGCTTCCAGTACCTACTGCCACTCCCTGCAACTTCTCTAGCTGTCCCTGAGCCATCCTCTGGCTCCCCACACCCAGAGCCCCTCTTTAACACCCACACTTTCCCTTAGTCCCATTTTTCCCTCTCCCTACCTACCTTTTCAGCTCCCCCATAGCTCTGGCTCCAGTCCCAGACTCTGTGGCGGCATGCTTCCCTGTGCTGCAGGCTTTGGGCGTTGTCTTTTAATCAATTAAGATTACCCCTCCCCCCCTAAAGTTATCCCCCAGCTTCAGTTCTTCAGCCCAGGCCCCTGTAGTCTACCGGTTCTAATCCTGGTCCTGGTAACTTTAACTCCCCATACTTCTAATTTCTTACCTTAACCTTTCCCCAGGTATCCCAAGTACACCAAGCACATACATACATACACATCACAACACCCAACTTAGGAACTCACCTGTGTGTATGTGTAGGTGGGTTGTATGCATGTGAATTAGTGAATACATATATATACATATATGTATATATATAGATATATATATAAATATCATTGTGTGTGTGTGGTATATGAATTAGTAATCCACGTATGTGTATTGGATGTGCAGGTGTTGGTAACTAGCAACTAATTCTGTCTAAATTTGGTGTGTGTAGCGTGTATAGGCTTAAACTGGTGATAGGTGTGCATGAACCTAGACTGGTTATTTTGAATGTGTGTGTATCTGAGTTGCTAGTGTGAGTGTGTGTGTGTGTGTATATATATATGGCATTGTGTGCATGATATATGAATTAGTCATCTGTGTCTAACTTTTGGGGTGTATAGTGTATGTGCTTGAATTGGTGATAAGTATGCATGTGCCTAGGCTGGTTTGGATGTGTGTGTGCCTGAGCTGGTAGTGTGTGTGTGTGTGTATGCACTTAATTTATTTGTGTGTGTTTTGTATATATGCAATAGTGTCAGGGCAACAAAAGAACATACTCACAAAAATATAAAATTAAATTTAAAAAAGTTGTTGTCCTGTCCTGGGCACTTGAAGGGGACCCCTGCAGCTCAGGCCCTAGCACAAATGTCTGGCCTCTCTAGGCAGCCCATAGTTCAGCCTACCACCTACCTAAGGCTTGCAACTGTTTCCTTACAGCTTGCTGCCCTGCAGTTCTGTTCTCTGCTGTTTTAACTTCCCAGTGAGCCACTCCCTTCTCAGCAGCCTTTCCACATCTGCTGCTACTCATTAGGGCTGACTATCCCTTCTTAAGTGGACAGGAAACACTTTTGCAAGGTGTTTGCACACCTAACAGTGCTACTATTGAGCAGCACCCTATGGTACTCTTAAAGGATCTGTAAGTGCTGTATCACCCTGGTTGAGAATCACTGATCTAAAGGCCTTAAGAAAAGACAAATCATCACTTCCCTTGGCAGTATGTTGTAATGCACAACCAATTTCACTACTAAAAATTTGCATTATTTTTCATTTGAATTTGCCTTTAAATACTGATTTTTTCCTTATGCTGTCCGGTGGAGGGAAGCTGTTTTAGCCCTTCGGCCCTGTACAGTTTTACATTTTAGCTTTCATAATTTACATTTGGCTTAATCTTACTGCAAATGGACATTGAGAAAGTCCCACGGTTCTAGGCCAGAAATCTCTGCTAGGCAGGGGCTTCTAGCTGGGGAAGGGGGGGGGCAGGGCTGGGGGGCCCTGCGGTGTGGGGTGGGGCTGGGCAGGCCTTGCTGCTGCAGGGTCCTGCTGTGGCTTCCCTTGGGTCCTACTGCCCCTGTCTCCTGTCATCTTTGATAGGCAGCCAGGGGCAGATAAATATTAATTTTCTAATTTTTTTAGGCGCCCCGTGGGCCAAATAGAATGGCCTGGTGGGTTGAATCTGGCCCATGGCTGTATTTTTCCCACCCCTGCCACAGGCCCTTGGTAGATGTTACATTTGAAGTACAATTAACGTGTCAATAGAGCAAGGTAGTGTAAGAGTGATGTTGTAGCTGTGATTGTCCTGAAATTATGCGAGAGGCAAAGATTTCTTAGGGTGATCTCTTTTATTGGACCAACTATGTAGTTGGGATAAAGTTAGGCAAGCTTTTGAATGGAAGACTACTAGAGCAATAAATTGGAACGTGACACATGTTCAAACCCTTTATCACCTGATGATAAGGCACAAAAATGGTCATCCAGCCACAGAGATATTACTTGTAAAATGTAGAATATCTTTTTACCTCATTTGCATTATGCTTTCATTTGAATAATGTATAGCATGTTACTCATAGGGTGATAGTGGTTCACCAGGTCCTCCAGCATCCCAGTGTGGTGTGCCCTACTCCACCCCATCTGTGACTCATACTGAACTCTGCTGGACCAACATTCCTCAGCAAGAGAAATCACTAGGGATTTGGGTTTTCCATTTCCTATGGAAAAAACAGAGAAAACCAAGGATTTCCCCCTTTGATGGAGGAAAACGTGGATTTCTCATTTTACCAGAGAAACCCACAGATTTTGCTCTCTGTAGGCTGGCAGAGTTTCAGCCTACTGGGGGCTGGGAGGGAGTGGAAGGAGGGCAGTCAGGAGGGATCACCATGTGAATGTATATGCACATGGCCACCAGGCAGCCTGAAGAGCAGCTCCCTCAGGCAAGTGGGGAGGAGTGGGAACTGAAACCCCCATAGAAAGGGAGGGAGGGAGATGTGCAGGGCTGGGGCTGGGGCTGCTGCCCAGCTGGGCAGTGTATGGGGCTTGGGGCCCAGGGCCAGAATGTGTGGCCACAGGGTCCCATAGAGGAGTGGAACAGGGCTGCGGGTGGCTTGTCGG